TAGTCCAATGCTCAATTCTTCGTCTGAAATCATAAACTATGTACATGGTAGATGTTTTTGTCTCTTTATGAAGGACCCACAAACAAAAAAATAGGAGCGTTTGGCATCTTGTTCAGTCCATATGAAAGGAAAAGCTTTCTGACCCATAAAATAGGAGACTTGATAATAAGGGAGAGCTGCCAGTTCTATAAGTCCTAGTCCAATGCCCAAACCACTATGCCACACTATGCGTGTGCAGCCCTGCATTCAATCTAATTGTCTAATGTATATGCAGAGGAGGCATCAGGAGTGTAAAATCTTTGTGAATGTTAAGAATTGTTTCCCCTCTGGCATAACTGGGAAGGAGGATGCAGGTTAGAAGTGAAGTCAGAGCAAGTATGGGAAAGGGAATGAAACAAGAGGTTCAGATAGTTCCTCATAAATTTCCACATTATATATATGTGCGTGTGTGCGTGTGTATACACAAGTGTTCCTTCAAGACCAGAGAGACGAGAAGACACCGCAAAACGTAAGACCTTGGAGAAAAAAATGCAGGGCCAGCTAGAAAGCTAAAACACACTCAGATATCAATGCTGCTTAGTCATGCTCAAAATGTAGGAAGTTTTGGAATTCCTCCTGGACAAAGGCTGAAATGTAGGACATGCCCTGGAAGAGGAGGATATCTGCTCACCCTGCTCAAGTCGCCTGCCAACTTATGGTGACCCATTCAGAGGTGGCTTTGCCAGTTCCTTCTTCTGGAATATAGCCTAGAGCTCCTTTTATTCACTGGCAGCCTCCCATCCGAGTACTAACCAAAGCTGACCTTGCTTAGCTTCCAAAATCAGACAGGATCTGGTGCCTTTGGGATATATATCCCAAAACAGCATGGCGTAGTGGTTTGAGCATTGGACTAGGACTCTAGAGACCAGGGTTTCAAATCCCAGCTTGGCCATGTAAACCCACTGGATGACCTTGGGGATGGCAATGGCAACTTGCTAAGAAAATACCATGATAGGTTCATCTTAAAATCACCATCAGTTGGAGATGACTCGAAAGCACACACTAACAACAACAAATATATATATATATATATCAGTTTTCTGCCCTCTCTTTCCTGGTTATTTTTTGTACCCTTTTCCCAGCTCTTCTAGAATCCCAGCCCGTAACCCCAGCTGTAGTCCCCATTTTTAAGGGGCCATCTCAAGGTGCTTTGCCATGATAACTGAAAGAGAGCCTCCAGAGCTAAGAGGCAGTCTACCTTGGAATGCCTGGTGTCAGGGACTGTCCGAGGGGAGGGGAGGGGGCTTTGGTGGCTTTGGTGTTCTGCTCTATGAGTTTCTCCAAGGAAGCTAGGTGGGCACCTTTTGGAGATACCAGAATAATGGACCAGATGAGTCTGGACTGATTTAGCAGAGCTCTTGTTAGGAGTTGTCCATTCCAACTCCAGAATGGTGAGTCAGCTGCTACTTCCGATGCCTGTGGAAAGCTTCAATTTTGCAAATCTTTGGAGCAGGGGTGACATGAATGGAAAGGGGGACCCACCACGACAGGGTAGAATAATAGTTCAGCCATGAAGTTGCCTTACCGAGGAGTCTTGTCTCTCTCTGTGTTTATGTGCACCTTGAGAATGTGACTGTTATGTCCAGTAGCCCAGAATTTGTGACTATAAATAGTAATCACTTGGTCTAAGAAGTAGATTACAGCTCTGTCTAGCCTTCTGAAAGGCTAAGTCAGACAAAGTTGGCTTTTTTTCCCCCTCCGCCTGTGTGGTTAGAGTATCTGTAAAACAGGCAAAGTCGATGCATTGTACTACAGATCAAAGAGCAGGACCCCTCCATTCTACTTCCTGGATATTTCTAAAAATGTTTCGCTGTTCTGTACCTGTAATACATGTCTGAATTAGTATTTTTTAAAAAATATGTGTGGCTATATGAAAGTGAAGTGGGGTGGTTAAACTGTTTTCTAAAATGTCCTGGGTGGACTTTAAATCATGCAGGCTGCAATTCTGCACCCACTTACCTTACAGTTAGACTTCTTAAGCTTCTGAATAGGCATGTATAGCATTGCAGTGGATGCTGTCAAATGCATTCACATTCTGTTCTTTCTTTACTCTTCAGTAATATTATGTACATGCTGTGCTTTCTTTTTAAACTCTTAAGCACGGGCAAGCATTGGGAGATGCTCAAATTGTTAAATAGTTGTTCTGTTTTAATGAGTTTACCTGGTTGTCACCTCATACTGTCTCCACCTCATCTCCACACACCCCTGTCCATATCAGTTCTTGGTGTGGCAGTGCCCTTGATGTAGTTGCTATACCGCTAGACACATCAGGTCTAATAATGACTGTGGGAGAGCCTATCTGTTCCCTTGGCCCTGCCTGTTGGAGGTGTAGGTGTCAAATTATTTCCTCTTAAAAGTTCTGCAGATTAAAAATCAATGTCCATGGAAAATGTGATTTCTCTCGATATTGCAGCAATTACATTGACTTTCTCTTCTCTCCCCGCCTCTTCTCTCTTGCGTCTCATGCCTAGTCTTTAAACTGTTTTGGCTGTGGCTTTTGAATATTTATCTACCAGAGAATCCCCAACACATGACAGTATTTTCTTTGCCTATAAAAATATGTATGCAGCTTCTGCCTACTGTGTAATGAAATGCCAAATGTTCCTCTCCCCCTCTTCCAATCCCCATCTCCATATTTTCCCCCTTTTTCTTTTCAAATTCATCACCTTTATTTTCAGTCCTTTCCTCCAGGCTAATCAGCCATAATGATGTTTTGGCTGAC